ATGGTTTTGTGGTTATGTAGAAACATGTCCTTACTTTAGGTGATAATTAATTAAATACTAAAAGCGAGCATCATGATGTCTGCAGCCTGTTTCCAAATGTTTTAGGAAATACATATACATAAGGGGAGGGAGAGATAAAGAAGAAGAAATGTGGCAAAAGTTAACCATTTATAAATTTAGATAAAGGATGTATAGATACTTGTATTATATTTTTAACTTTTCTGTAGGTTTGAAATATTTATAAATTATAAGTTGAGATTAAAAAAAAGAGTGATCAATGGGGTCCAATGCAACTAAGGGGTCTTATAAAAACAGCAGGAGGAGGAAAGAGCGGCGACCTTTGGGGTGCACAGTGGCCTCAGTGAGGAGAAGTTCAGGGCATTGTGAGCATAGTGACCGGGTTTTATGGAGTCATGCAATCGAGAAAGTGGTTATAGACAGTGTCTACAGACAACCCGTTCAAGAGTGTGACTGTAAAGAGGAGGAGAAGGGGGAGGTCAGGGAGTGTTTGCAAAAGTTGGAAAACCCCTTACTGTGCTTGGCTGCTGCAGGCAGGAAGAGGTCAGGGAGAGGAAGAGGTGGAAGATTCGGGAGAGACAGGTGGTGTGCTGGGCGATGAGTCACTGGATCCCAGATCTAGTTTGAGAGTGTGTGAGCCTGAGTGAGCCTGAGGCGGCAGGAGGGGCTTCCATCCCACCAAACAGGAGAAAAGGGAGAAGGGCATGCAAAAGGGGAGCATGGAAGTGTGCACATGTAGAGGCAGGGGACTGAGGGAGTTTTTTCTGGTGCCTTCTATTACTCTCTGAATTTGGAAGCCAGGTCATCTATTCAGAGTGAAACAGGGAGGCAGGAGAAGGAGGATTTGAGCAGCGTGGAGCGTAGTCAGTCTGAGAAACCGCTGGTGAGAAAACGTGGGGCTGCTGATAATTGCTCAGTGACCCTCCTTTCTTGAATGCATCTCCCGTTTACAATTTCTCAGCTCTAATTGGATCACTTTGTAGCTATCCAATATGGATTTTTCTTATTAAATAAGGTTGAGATCTGGTCATTTCATAGATGGTTGGCCCTGTTGCTTCTGGTTTCGTGGCCAGGGTAGTGAGGATGGATTCGTTCAGTGCAGGAGGCACAGGGAAGAGCACATTTGTGCTGAATAACCCCCGGGGGGTTCTTCTCAGAAAGGGGCTGCGGAAGAAGCTCGAGGAGTGGCAGAGATTGCTAGAGCATTAGCAGCTCCCAATTCTCCTCTTCTTGCGGGGAACAGAGAGACTGTGTTTCCTATCTCCCTGCTTCCTCTCCTCTGCAGCCACAGGACGTAAGCGGGCACAGCCTGCCCACTTTCAAGCTGTTCTTCTCTACAGTCGTGGCCGAGTGGCTGGCTTCTGGCTGGTGGATGTAAACAGAAGGGATGGGCGCCACTTCCAGGACCAGCCCGAGATAAACCCTCCTACCAAGAGCCTTGCTCAACTCTTTCTCCCTTCCCTGGCCAGATGGAAGGTCCTCCAGGGTTTAGATGAGGGAGAGCAACTCCCTGGAAGGAGCTGGGTCCTTGAACGGCTGCGGGGAATAGGGCTCCATGGCTGGCCTGCATTGAATGGGAGGCAGATGAGAAATGAACTTAATTTGTCAGACTGTTGAGATTTTGGAGGTCGTTATAACATTTTAGCCTTCTTGACTCGTAAGATCTGTCATGTGAGTTGAAGATTGATTATCATCCCTCTATGATAATCTAATTTATACATCTCCTGGGAGAGCTATGTCATTGAGTGGACCTAATACCTCTATTGGGTGCTGGGGAACCACCTTCCTGAGGAGGGCCTGGCTGGGCAAGGGCTGTATTGGCCTTTTAGACTCTTTTTATTTTTTTTCCTGCTGTCTGAGTTGCTACTCTAATCGACTGAGTTTTATTTAGAAACGTCAGTGCCTCTACGCAGATACTGATGTCTTATTCATCAGAGATTCTTTTTAAGCAGAAAGTGCCCCAAAAATGACAAATTGGGGGCAAAATCAACACACATATAGTAACACGGTAATTTTTTAATGTTCAAAAATCTCTTATAAGGCAATAAGAAAAATACAGGCTAGACAATCTTCCAAAGCAAAAGGGAAAAAAAATAAATGGACAATAAGATTAATAGGTACTCAACCTTCCATCACCTGTCATGAATTTTTTTTAAAATTTTTTATTAGGGTATTATTGACATACACTCTTACGAAGGTTTCACATGAAAAAACAATGTGGTTACTACATTTACCCATATTCTCAAGTCCCCACCCACACCCCAATGCAGGCACTGTCTATCAGAGCAGCAAGATGCCACAGAGTCACTATGTGCCTTCTCTGTACTGCACTGTTTTCCCCACACCTCTCACAAACTCTATAAGAAAAAGATGCCAGGGCTGCTATTGTCCACATTACCGATAAGAAATTCCCCTGCTCTTCTGTCTTCACCCCGCTCCTGAGCACTGGTGGAATGGCATTCAGGGCAGGCTAGGTGATAGGTGCTGGTGGGTGTGGAAGCAGAGCCTTGGCATTCACTGTGGCAAAGCTCCACACTTGTTTGGGGGCTGGAGCCCAATGCCAGCCAGCATGGACTTAGGAAATACAGAATTTAGAGCTGACAGCTTCGATCAGTCCTCGTCGTTTTATGGATGGGGAGATGGAAGCACAGAAAAATCAAGTCGCCTGTCCAGATAACTACTTCTTCTCTGATGCCCTACAAATAACTCACCCTCAGTGTCCACAGTATGCTCAGCACGTTCCTCCCCTGACCCGCTTCTTCCCTTGAATTCTTTATTTCGGAGAATAGAGCACTACCACCCATACCCAGCCAGCTGTGCCAGAGAGCCGGGAGTCACCCGGGGGCCCCTTCTCTCCTTCAGTGTCCAAGTTCCCTCTGTCACCGCCTCTTGCTGATTGTCTCCTGATTCTCTCTCTCATCCCCACCCCCATTGTGATTTTCCCCTGATTTGGGGTGACTTCAGCCCAAGGCATTTGCCTCTCATCTAACCATCTTTATTGTTATTCCTTCCCAGGGCAGCTGGAGTGACCTTTTGACACCCAAGGTGATGGGACCTCCCTGTTACTCAGAATTCCGAGGTGTCTCCACAGTAAGTTGAGAAAAGGTGCATTTTGCCCTGGTCCTGCCCACCTGTCCTGCCCCAACTGCTGCCACCTGCTGCACACAGGGGTGCATTCTAAGTAAGCTGAGCTGCTGGTGAGGGCCACATTCTCTCTCCTTCAGTTTCTCTGTGCCCTGCCTGTGCTTCTCCCTTGGACCAGAATCCCATCTTCTCCCTCCTCTCCAAAAACCTTGTTGAGTTCAAGACTCAGCTCAAAAGCTCCTTCCCCTGAAGTCACCACTGTCCTGAGATTTAGCTGCTCTTCTATCTCTGCTTCCACTCCATCCTGACCACGCCTCCTCTCTGACGTTATTCTCCTGGTCAGTCTCCAGGGGCTCTGTAAGTTCCTGGAGGTAGCAGGGCAGCTTCTTCTAAACGTTAAATCCCTGGTGCCAACCTAGGACAAAGTCTGGTGAATGATCAGTAACCGTGTGTTGAAAAGAACAGATGATTAATCATGCAGACATCTTCCCTGTCTGGGAGCTTGTGTCCCATAGGGACAGATTGCAAGCACCTCCATCTGACAGCAGGGTTTGGCGGAGGGGGCGCTCTGACCCTTCTCCAGAATCTGGAGAGAGAAAGGGGATCCCGTGCAAATTTACACACAGCTCATTAACAAGAAACCAAGTCTTGGCCACTGAGCATGATGGGAAAGTGTAGTTACTGAGGAGGCTGAGTCCACTGGCCTGGGATTTCAAACAGAGGCTGTTTGGGGGTGGAATTCAGGCCAGTTTTGACTTTCACTTTTCACAGGGAACAGCCGAAGGGAGCTTGGGTCCTCCAGCCTCCCTCCCTGCCCCAGCCTTTCCCACCCCCCGGAGGGCGGCCCTCTTTGTCAGAGGGTAACCAGTCCACATCTGAGAGGTGACCCAGTGCTTGCCTCCTTAAATTCTCCTCAAACTGTGCCACAATTTAAAGGGCAACCTTTTGAAAAGTAAACAGATGACTTTAAACTTCAAGTTGTCTAAGAAAATCCACTGTTGACTCAATAGCCTAATTGAATGGAGCTGGTAAAGAAAAACATAGCCAGACTTCAGTTAAAGGAGTGAAAACAGATTTTATTCACCAACTACTGATGGTAGGGGAAGGGGCTGAGCTCCACTCCCAGTTGGACAGAGGTGACTGGACATTTTAAAGGGAGAATGTGGGAGTGCGATGGGGGCCTAAATGAAAAATGACAAAGGGCCTTCAGGATAAATGTGGTCAGGCCAGTTGTGCTGCCTAGCTGGCATTTATGGATGGACGATTCTCTCCTGCCCCAGAGACTGGGACACAGGCCCCGTCCCTGCTGGTTACATCTCAACAGGATGGCTGTCAGGTCCTTAAGACATTTCTGATTTGTGGGAGATACATCCACATCTCACAGGGACAAAGGAAGGGGTCATAATTGTGGGCCCTTTATAGTAAATGCTTTGCAAAAAGGTCAGAGGCCTAGCCTCCATGTCTACCAGAACAAACAGTGAAATCTGACCGGGGTGCTTTTTCTCAGGCAGGCATTTTAATGGGGGGCAGGGGTCATCCTGCGGATTTGGCCTTACGCTGCAGGAATCCCAGCTGTAATTTCGTCTCTCTTAGCGCAGTGGTGTCCTGCGAATGGCCAAAAGTTCTGCAGTTCTCAGAGCCATCTGGCAGCCAAAGTCGTTCCTAAACGTTTTAAAATCTCCCATTCTGCAACCCCCAGTCCACTTTCGCTGTTGGGGTGGCCGGTTGAGCAGCAAAGTGGGCAGGGTTAGTGGCGAGGGCGGCAGAAGCGCAGTGCCCCGGGCGCGCCCTGCCTCGCCCGCCCCCTCGCCGCGCAGCCTGGCGCCGCCTTCGGGCGCCTCTCCCCCGGCGGAGCGTCCGCCCGCCCCGCGCGGGCCGGAAGGAAGTCGGGGCCGGGGGCCGGGCCGACCGTGGCTCCCCCCCGCGCGCCCGGAGCGCCAGAGCCTCCGCGCCGCGCCCCCGGCCCGGTCTCTCCCCGGTCTGCGCACGGGCCCGCGCCCGCTCGCTCGGCCATGGGCGCCGCCGGCTCGTGGGCGCTGGGCCGCCTGGGGCTCCCCGCGCCGCGCCTTCCCGCGCAGCCCCGGCCCGCCTGGCTCGGGGTGGCCGCGCTGGCACTGGCCGCCGTGGCGCTGGGCTCGGTCGCCTGGCGCCGCTCGCGGCGCAGACGGCGCAGGCGGCGGCAGCAGGTGGGCACCGTGGCGCAGCTCTGGATCTACCCGGTCAAGTCCTGCAAGGGGGTGCCGGTGAGCGCGGCGGAGTGCACGGCCCTGGGGCTGCGCAGCGGCCACCTGCGGGACAGGTACGGCGGGCCGGGCCGGGGGCAGCGCGGGACCTGCCGGGGACGGCGTGGGGTGGGGTGGAACCTGTCCAGGAAGGAGAACAACGTTTGCCACCTGGGTTTCCTGGGGCTGCTTGTTGATCCTTCATCTGGGAAGATCAAGTTCAGGTCTGGCCCCAACTTAGAAAAGTCGTAGAGGCAAGCCCTTGGTAAAAGGATGGGGTCTGACCTGCTTATCTCCAAGGCTCCTGCGAGTTCTAAACTTTCTGATTCTATCTTAATATGTAACAACAGTAGAAAAGTAAAAAAATGTCACTAGTGGGCAGACGGGGGCAGCGCTGGAACCAAGTGTTGTCCAAGGTCACTGGCTTCGGCCTTGCCCGGCCTTGTTCCCCACACACCTCCTATCCTGGGGAGGGCCTGGAAGGCCCCGAGGTGGGGAGCCCTGACCCACCCTAGTGAGTATCGAGCAGAGTGAAGCCTTCTGTTGGGGGTAGAGTCGGCGGCAAGTGTAGTATTTGTCGTTCCAGGAATAGTGTGTCCCCTCCGCTCAGAGGCAGAGTGGTCCTCAGTGAAGAATTTTGGTCAATTATGCAGCTGAATGGGGGAAGGCTCCCTTGGCAGTGAATGAAGCCAAACCCTAGAAAGAGTGATTGAGGAAGAAGGGACCCTCTCTCTTTCCTTCCTTAGGACCAAGATGCCTTTCTATCTGGCTGAGAAGGTTTAGCTGTGGCCCTGTGTCTTGGGGTAAGGAGGCTTGTAAGGGGGCCAATCAAGGAACCTTCTAGCAGAGGCTGTGTCCTGCCCCGAGTTCCCTGGAGGACACGTGTCCTCGCTTTTCTCTGAAGACTGCTGCCCTCCTAACAATTGTCGGCTCCCATGGCATCAGAAACCTTCAGCTTGCTTTAGAGAAATGGTGTGTATGCGGACCATGTCACTCATAGGACTTTTCCATTCTCCTCCGCCTCAGATTTCTAATCTTGAGGAGTTCTTAAAAACTTTAATTTCCTGAGATTCCCATCCCAGACCTATGAAATTAGAAGCGTGAAGAATAAGGCCTGCTTGTGTAGTGTTTAAATCTCCCCAGGTGATTCTGATGCTATACCTAAGGGATTTTACCTGGGACCACTCAAAAAGAGCATGTTTAAAGCTTATTTAAGTATGAAAGATTAGAAAAGCTGTCTTATTGCTGGGAAGACTTTGGGCGGAGTGGTATACAGGACACCCTCCAAAAGCTGCGAGAAGCAAATTCTCATGATGCGCATCAGAGAAAACAGCCTGATGGGACTTCCCTGCTCACTTGAAGACAGATAATTTCATGGAGAGTTTTCCAGTTCTTATCTGTGTCTCCTTTGATCATCTGAATGACTCTTGTCTCTCTGACCTCGTTTTTTTCATCGGCAAAAGAGGTTGAACTTGATCTTTAAGACTCTATCTAATCTAGATTTTATTTATGAAAGGGTAATTGAAACTCGAAAGCGAGCTGGAGGGAGGTGTGCTAAATGATTGCTAGTGTTTCTCAAAGCGAGACTAAAGTAACGAAACTCCAAATAGTCTAGAATGCAGGAAAAGGCCTCCTTTATTTAATTCCATGCTGCTCCTGAATTTTTGGGACTGTTATAAGAAGCTGGGATAGTCCTCTGTAAGGGCTCCATGCTTCAAATTTCTAGAGCTATTTTGTCCTTAACATATTTGTGACTGCTTGGCTTGAGCACCCTGAGCTTTGAGCTTGTTTAAAGTCCATGCAGCAGAACGCTGGCATTGGCTGTCTGGCACAGATGCTGGGAGGGTAGGGCTGCCTTCCTCGACCTTGTAAATAAATCCCTGCTGTTTCCTTAGCCGCCATCTATGACTTGCTCTCTGAAGCCAGCCGCACTTGTCTTCTGCACAACTGTTATCTCTTGGAGAAATGCATTCCCTAAGTTTATTGTCCCATGTCATTTCCTCCTGGTTTTGCCTCCTACTGTCTGTAGTGGGATCCTTGTCCCTCGCACCCCCTTTCCAGGCTCAGTCACTCCTGCTTCCCAGGCCAGTTTGTGAGTTTAGAAATGAGATTTTCCAGCTGTCGTGGGCTCTGCTTCCCCACTGCTCTTGGTGGCGTGGGGCACTATTGTTCTGGAGAATCTGAGCTCTGGTCTCTGCATTTATCCGCACACCACATCCTCATGTTTCTGTGTAAAATGCAGGCATTGGCATTTAGTTTTGCAGACTAGCTTGGGATAACTTAGTCATGAAGAAATCCACACTCCAGAGTTATCCTTTCTTTCAGAGCTGGCAGAACTGAGCTAATTATTCCTTTGTGGGGCATATGTGTGTGCAAGAGGTGAAAAATATCATTACCCCATTAGCAAGGTAATGAGGTTGGTTGGGCTTGTTATGAGGCAGCTTCTTACCCTCTCTGGCTGCCTCTGTGCCATCCTGGTGTTGGACTTCTTGCAAGTTGCCACTGACCTTCTCAGCTGCAGCAGTTCACACAAAACCTCCAGCTACCGCTTCTCACTGTTAACCTCCAGGGGTTAATTCCTGTGTGATGGGACAACTGGCTGGCTGGCACTAAGGGTGCAGGGTGAAGGTTGGAAGGTGGCTGGGAGATGAGAGTCTCAGCCCAGGGAGGGTCTGACATATGTGCCAACTGGGGTGTGACTCCTGTTTGGATGTGTGTCCTGTTGTGTGCAGATTTCAGAAGTCTTGTTAGGGGATGTCTGGGAAGTCCAGGATGTGGGCTTTGGTGGCATTAACCAGAGAGGGTCATCCGGAATGCTGCAGCTATGGATGAGGCTGGAAATAGGGAACAGGGCCCAGCTCTGAGAGAATGGGGGGGACACAAAGTAGGCAGCACATCCCTGGGTACAGGTGAGTGGGCTAGAAAAGCCTGGGAACCAAAATCACTTAGAGGGAAAAAGGTGACCTCCTCAGAGGGGTGGACACCTGCTCCTGCACAGTATCACCAGCCCTTGGGAAGAGAGTGGCCAAGATCATTCCTAAAATGTCTTTGCATCATCGCCAGCACCATGGCCATACCTCATAGCAACACACAGGCCAGTGGACAGGGCACAGGTGGTGGCCAGAGTCTGCTGGCGTGGTGACAGGAAGGGGCAGTGTACCCAGCGCCTGGACAGGGATAGGCTGCCCGACTGGGCAGTTCCTGCCAGGGTCAGGTCAGGGCAGAGACTGAGCTCCTGCACCCGGATGTTCGGTGCCCTCATCAGCTTCCATCAGACATTCCCACTTGGCTCCACATATTTTGAAGTGTCTGACTCGGAGAAGCGGCTCCTCGTTCTGGAAGGAGCTGTCCTTTCTCCTTGCTCACATTTGGGAAGCCCCAGCTTCTGGTGGCTGCTCCCCTCGAATGCATGAGTGCTGCAGAGTTCCTCACCGCTGTCCCCGTCTGCCAGTGCAGTGCTCTCTCCAAAGCAGAGATGCTGAAACTCATTTCCCCTTGGAGAGCAACACTATTGTTCTTTAAGTAATCAAATCATTGGTGTGGTGCAACCCCAGATAGATACTCTGCTCTAGGTGAAAGCATAGCCCACCTAGCCAGTCAGCTGCCCTTCCGCGTGTTCAGCTCACCCCGCTCTCCCCAAGGATACGAGGTGTAGAGTGTGAAAACCGAGCCTAGACCCGCAGGCTCTCTTGGAGGTAAGCGGAGCTCTTGTCTAGCACACAATGTGCAGGAATCGTCGTTCCCTGAGTCAGAATTGTTCACAAAGAGGAAAGGCTGTTGGGGGTTTCCTGATGCGGGATCTGCTTATACACTGAGTTAAGCAGAGTGGACATCAGCTTGCATCCTCTTGGAGACACGAGCATTCCGAGACCTTTGTCTAGGGTTTCAGTGCACATGTGGACCAGTGGTTTTGACCAGCCTGATCTTGGTTCACAGCAGAAAGATCTGGAAGACATTTCACTTTGACCAGAGGCTCAGTGTTGAACAGGCCTGGGGCTGTGTCTGACCAAAGAAAAGTCCCAAAGTGAGCCACACAGTTGCCTCAGCAGGTAAAGAAGGTTCCTAAGCCGGCCTCATTTTTCAGGTTTTCATACGTTGGTCAGATGCTGTCTCCCAGAGCTCTTTCTGCAAAACAGGCTCCTTTTGGGGCACCAACGTTTGGACATAAGGAATTTCCCAGATCTGGATAACAGTGTAGGTAGGAATCCCTGGGTCCCAAGTGGGGACAGAGGGCGGGTTTTGATGAAACCCTAGAAAGCTAAAGGAGAACTGTTGTGAGGATGGCAGAGGATTTGCTGAGTGCGGTCTTGTTTGTTTCTTGGCAGGTTTTGGCTGGTGATTAAGGAAGATGGACATATGGTCACTGCCCGGCAGGAGCCTCGCCTCGTGCTGGTGTCCATCACCTGTGAGGACGATCGCCTGATCCTCAGCGCTCCGGGCATGGACCAGCTGGTTTTGCCGAGCAAGCTGCCTTTCTCAAACACAGTCCATGACTGCAGGTGCTCCGCGTGGGGTCTCTGGGGGCCTGCTTGCACCCGATGTTCCTCCAGGCTCCTCCCTGCACTCGGTCTTGCTACAGTTTGTCCAGCAGGTGATAAGATCGGCAAGGAAATATGTAAGAGTAGCATAGTCTGGTTTGGGACCGACCGGTGATCAGATGTGAACAGGTGAGGCAAAGTATTGTTTTCAGGGCAACCTGGGATTTGTTTTCATCAGACATAGTAAGACACTCAGATACCAAATGACTGTCAGAAAGAAAGACATTATTTATATTCACAGATTGCTAGAAGCAGGAGGCAGGTCATGTGAAGCAGGGCCGCACTGGAAAGCACCAGAAAGTGCCCACCAGAAAGCTGGGCAGGGGGTTGTGAGCAAGAGCATTTATTGTGGTTTCTGTAGGAAAGACTGGGTGAGGCAGGATAAGTGGGTGTAGGATTGGCTAGTTTGAATAATTTCCGTGGCCCTGGGGCAGATAGACTGACCCTTGTTGTCTGGCACCTGGCCCTGGGTGATGAGGGCAGAAGGATAGTAGCTCACAGTGGAGAACCCAACAGAGGAGTTGTTTGGGGTGGGGGCTCTGGGCTGGTTGGCATGCATATGAAAAGCACCCTCCCTGGCCAGTGGTTGACTGTCTCTAGAAATTGGGGATGGGGTTCCCTCAGTATCAACAAGAACCCAACAAGGTCAAAGCATCAAAAATACAGAAAATTTAAGTTTTGTATTAATACAAGTGTAGAGGGGGCACAAAGACCAATCTTTAGGGTTTGTCTCCTTTTATTCAAGTTGGATAGACTTCTATTCAAAGTCGCCAGTCCTCCAGCCAGGCAGACAGGGAGTTAGGGGAGGCTTTGCCAGTCGTATCTCAGGCTTGGGTGATAAGGAAGCTGGAGCGTTTCAAGGTGACCCACAGCCTTTGAGGTCTGGGATTGAGACTAAGACCCTCTGGAAGGAATGGATATGAGGAATTTCCACTTCCTGCCTAGATGTGCCCCAGGCCTGGGCCTTCCTGAATCTGTGGGACCCCTGTGGGGCCATCACGTTCCATTTCAGGGTTGGCAGGGGTCTAGTCCTGTGCTCTCAGGAAGTCCTAGAGGCTTAGACACTTGACAGGGGGGCCCTGGATCCCTGAGCACATTCAGCATGTGGAAACTGGGGTTGTCCAAAGGTTCCAAGGCTCAGCAGGGACCTACAGATTGCTCCCTTGCCCTAATATGGATGTGGCCTGGCAGACTCACTTTGTCATGGACACTAAGCAAGTTTTCCCTTCAAGGCTGTTTACTTCGCTAAACAGGACACAAACCCTCCTGGACAGAGAGGGGAGGACCCTGTAGGGGGTTGATCCAGGTCTGGGAAAGCCACCTGAGTGAAAGCCATTCTTGTATAATTCTGTTCTGCACATCAGTTGTATTTCTGAATAAGGTGAGATAAGAAAACCCTAGGATTTGGAGAAACCAGCTACTGGGAGCTGTGTTTTTTAATTAAGACAGAAAAGGAGGGAGTGTAACCGGCACGCTACCCGCTCCAGTGAGGCGGACATTCTGTACCCAGTGGGGCTGTATTTACAAGCCATTTTTAATGCATTAGCTGTCATGAGGACTGCTAAAAACTGAAGAAATGACATAAAATAGACGGTAAGTGCCAAACCACAGCCAGCTCATTGGAGCCTAAATAAAATAAAATAAACCAACAACCTCAAGTTGGAAAAAAGTAAAGGAAATCCCTTAGCACAGCCATATAGACAAGGATTTTATTTCATGGATTTTTTTTTTAACTTTAACTGTTAGTTTCGGCTCCAGCTTTCCCCATTTACCCTGTGTGGCATTACATTTTTTAGAGTAACATAGACCAGGAGGCTTCTTAATTATCACAGATTTATGAGTGATTATTGTGTAAAAAGGCCAAGCTTATGTTTTAAAGTGGGAGGAAGGAAGAAATGACTTCAAACCTGCATGGTCCAAAGTAAGTTTTATTCCTTTTAATTGAAATAATGGTCCCTTTTGGAAAAGAAGAAATTCCTCCAGCTCAGCTTCATTTGGTCACAGACTATATTAACTACTGATAACATTATGCAATTAAATACATGATTGCATATAATATTATATGTAAATTACTAAACATAGTAAGGAAGCAAACACCTCCACCATGGTGCACAATTTAGGAAATACAGCAGGAAGAGAAATACTGCAGGTGCCTTCCTCATATCCCATCCCTCAGAGGTAACTAGTCTCCTGAATTTCCTTTTATTCCCCGCTTCTTCTGTGACTAACTAGCCTTTCTACGTATGTATGTGTTCTTAAATAATATATGGTTCGATTTTGCCTAGTTTTAAAGTTCATCAAAATGTTGTGTCATATGCATTCTTCTGCAATTTCCTTTTCTCCACATCTTATTTCCAAGATTCATCTGTTTGTGTCTTGTATTTGATAGCTGTAGTTCCTTTTTTTCACTGCTGTATAGTTTCCAGTGTGTGTATCAGCTGCAGTTTACTTATTCATTCTTCTCTGCATGCTCCTATAAATTGTTAGCAGTTTTCTTGCAACATAAACAATGTTCAATGAACACATTGGTATGTGTCTTTAATTCTCTAAGGCATGGGAACTTGGAGGTAGAATCACTGAATCATTGGGTATGTTAATTTTTATAAGAAAATGTCAGATTGTCTCACAAAATTGTACTAATTTATATTTCATCGGAGTAAGGGTCCATTGTCTCCTATCTTCAGTAGCTAGGTTTATTTAGTCCTCATCATCTAGATTTTATTACACTTTAAATTCTGTCAGTATTTTTCAAGAGTCAGGTAGTAGCTCTTTGTGGTTTTAATTTGAAATTCTTTGATTTCCAATGAGGTTAAATTTTTTTTCTGTATGATTATTAGTTCCTTGTGTTTCCAGTCCATGAAATTATTTTTCATATTTTATGCCCAGTTTTCCCTTTCTTGCAGGTAGTTATTCTTTATATTGGCTTTTTACAAATCATTGGTCAGGTATATGAGATGCAGATTTCCCACTTTGCAGTTTATCTGTTATCTTTTTAATGGAATCTTCTGATAGTCATTCTTAATTTTACTATATTCAGGTTAGTCTTTCTTTTCAAATCATCACTTTCTTTGTGTCTTAAGAAGTATCTTCTGCTTCAGAGTTACACAGATATTCTCCTAATATTCTTTTTCTAAAACCATTAAAACTTTAACTTTTCCATGTATTATCTGGAGTTTATTTTTGTAAATGATTTGAAGTGGCAATTGGATATGACTTTTTATAGAGATTATCACTTGTACCAGCACTTTATTGAATAATTCATGTGTTTCCCACCTCTTTAAAATGCCACCTCCATTGTCTATCAAGATGCTTAAGAATATCTGTTTCCGAGCTCTTACTCGGTTGCACCGGTCTATCCATTCCTGACCGTACACTGCACTGCCTTAGTGACTTTAACTTTGTATGGTAATATCTAGTAGGAAAAGTTTCCCCATGATTTTATTCTTCAAAATTGTCTTGACTACTGCCTTCACTCTTCCATAAATTTTAAAATCAGCTTGCCAACAATGTGTAAAACCCTTTTGGAATTTTAATTGGAATTGCAATGAATCTGTGGCTTGATTTGGAGAAAATGGAAATGAATATATATATATATATTCATATGTCATGTATGATATTTGGAAGAGTTTCTGCTTCATGCCAGGCACTTAAAGACTAAATAAATCTTAGCTTTTAAATAGCTCTTACTATCTTTACAGAACTTCTCTACCCATGAATGTGATATCTTCCCACCACTTATGTCTTATTTTACTTCTTTAATAAAGTTTTGTAATTTTCTCTATAATGGAATTGTGCAACTTTTATTAGATTTAGTCCTAGATATCTTATCTGTCTATTCTTATTTTAAATGACAATTTAAGTAACTTTATTTTCTAATATCTGTAGTGTTGCTAGGCAGCTACATCTGGGAGGTCTCTCCCTGCGCACCAGGTGTGACCTCAACCTGGACAGGGGAGGGTTCTTGACTCTGAAGGGGAAAGAATTCTCCAGCAGGTCGAAAGAGTGTAGAAAAGGAAGGAATTCATTAGAATGAGAAAAGAAATGAATGACAGTGGCCTTGCTGGCAGCTGAGAGCAGGAAACTTGGAGAGGTGCAGAGGGCTAGTTTGCTAACCATTTTCTTGGCATAGGGTAGATACCCTTGCTATCTCTTAAAGCCAGGGTCACTTGGCACCCCATGTCTGCTTGGATCTGTACTGCATGGGGACTAGCACCTACCACCCCAGGTTGGGGAGCCTCAGAGCATGGGATGGAGTGAGATTGTGTTCTGAGAACTTCCCAAAGAAAGGAGATTTTCAGGCAGGCCCCTACAGCTACAGTTCCGTCTGGGTCACCCAGGTGACAGGAACTCGCACGTCCAAATCTGAGCTCTCAGCAGCCTCTCCCTACTTATCAGGGGTAAAATGGAGACTTGGAAATAGAATGAAATAGCAAAAAGACAAATTCAGTAAGTTGAGCAGTGAGAAAACTTTCTTTAAAGGTACACATTCAAAGAGAGAAAAAGTGCAGATATCCTCAGAGAGGAGGCATGCTAAAAGGCTGAGGGTTCCCTCTTTTAAGGATTTTTCAAAGGGCTGGGGGTATAAACTTGTAAAATAGTCTCAAAATGCCTATTTCCAGTGCGGGACATTAAGTCTCTTCTCTTCTATTATCAGTCCTCCAGTAATTCTGCAAAATTAACACAAGAAATTGGTCAGTTCCTCTCCCGGCTGGCAGCTTCCCTCTCAGAACATATCAATCAAGACCACCTGCCCTGCCCCCAAAGTGGATTGAGTTGTCTGTTTACTAAAGAACATGTTAGGAACCTTACTTCCTAACTTCCTGGTTTTTAGAATGGAATTCAGCTTTAAGATGGAATCCTTCCTGTTCTTACCGTACTGTTTATATCTCAGAATTTTTCATCATAGGCAGGGAAAGTTAGCCATGATACTTGTCTCAGGTCCCTGCCCCACATCAGTAGTATTTACTCTGATTATTGACAGAACCCTCCAGTAAAACTGGATTTTCTTTGTAAAATTCCATTGAAGTCTTTATGTCTCCTTAAGTATTTTGTAGTAGATTATTTTGCTTTGCTAATTAGTAGATTGCTAAGTAACAAAGTTCTATTAGACTCACACAGGGAGGTTGAGTGTTTTCTCTGGGATCTTGATGATGGCACATTTTGTGTCAAAATTTGGAAAAAGGGGATTTGCATAACATTTTCAAAGAATTGAGGAAGATGGAATGACCAAGGGATAGACACAGTGTGCTGCGGGGATGGGAGAGAGCAAGGGTCAGCGGAGGGGCAACTGTTAGGAGCCAGAAGGCGCTGGGTAATTATCTTGCCCACGGGGGGCTTTCTGATTTTCAGAGTGCCAGCATTCCACTCACCTGGTGGGTGGGAGCTGAGGGGCAGAAGTGTGTGCACTTACCTACGAGTGCTGTCTGAAGGAGTCGTGGCAAGTGCCCGTCCCAGGAGCAGATGCCCAAGGAGCTGATGAACAGTGGGTTCAGATGTCTTTGGAGTAGTAACCTGGTTTGTTGGGGAGGGTTTTCGGGGATGGGCTGAAGGCCAGGGGAACCATGAGAAGGCTTGGGGACCAGGCCAAAACTTAATCAGAGACCAAACAATGGCTCCATGAAGGGGGTGTTAAGAGAAGGAAAAGGCCTGAGAAGTGTTAGAACAGCATCCTGGCGGGACAGGCTGTCAGAGGGCAAGGTGTGTCTACAGTCAGACCAGGGTTGTGGGCCTGGGGGCTTCATCCAGTACTGAGCACCTCTTAGGTCCACACTGGCTACCCTCACCTACGTCACCTTGCCAGTCTTCATGCGGGGGTGAGTGTTCACATGGGGAGGTGCAGGCACCTCCCTGGTATGATACAAGGGCAGAGGATGCTTTAAGGGGACCAGTGTCCAGATCTTCCAGCCCCATAGGTTCTCTTTCCTAACAGTGATCCGAGTCACATCTACAGTGGGCATGTTCTCTCCCATCCCACCTTTTTTACAGATGAAAAGCTTGCCCACCCTATGTCTTACTAGGGAGAATTGCCCTGGGAAGGAAAAGTCTAAACAATGAAAAATGCAACATAAACAATGAAAAATATTGGTGTCAATAAAGAGAATGACTCCAGTGGTAGGGTAAACTCATTCTATAAGTTGGTGGCTCTGGGTCTTGCTAACCCTAAAGTGAAGGAACCCCTAATCAAACTGTTGTTGATAAATTCATTTAAAATACTTTTTGATGAATGATTGCTATGTGGCAAATATTGCAGATGGGTTCAAAGAACAATGAAATCGCTATAACTCAACTTCTTCCCTTCCCATCAATTTATTTATGTGAAAAAGTTTCTCAAGGCTTATAAAAAAAAAGGAATAAAATTTATGCTGGACCTTGTCTTATTCAGCAATAGGTAAAATTCATGCACAGGTACATGTATGTGCTAAAGGATTCCTTAAAGAAATTAATTTCCAAAAAGGATTTACTTTTGATGGTAATTATCAAATTTTATAATTTTGTTGTGTCCCTTGTGCACAGTAAAAATTATAATGATAACTCAGTCCCGCAAAATTTCTTCACATATGGAGTCTTCAAAAACAAAGAAATGCTGATTGGTTAAAAAGTGATCAATCACCACAAAAATATATTAAGGTAAAATTATGTAAGAAATAGAATGTACACATGGGTTCAAGAATAAAAAGGAGAATATTAAAATGCAGACCATGAAAGAAGACCTTAATTATGTATTTTTAAATTTTTCCAGGGGTGTGTATCAACCATCATGGCATTTAGGTTCCATGCATACTTTTAAAAGCACAATTTCTTATTTTATTTTATTTTAATATAATTTTTTACATTTGTAACAATAATATATTTAATCGAATTCACAGTAACTTTATTTTAAATGTTAATGTTTAATATTCAGTGGAAATTATATCTTTCATAACAAATTAAACTCATGGTGAAAATGTTTACATGGCGACATATAATTCCATGAGGAGTACATAGCTTTTAAAAAAATATTTTGGGGAACTCCAGCAAAAAACCCTGGAAGACCACTGTGTTATCTAATGGAATCGGTGCCTACAATGTGGGGCAAGCACTAAATTATTACCTCTAAGTTACTGCTGGAGACAGAATGTCAGAGGAATTCAGTGATTTGCAAAGGTCACGGAGTCAGGAATGGCAGAGTTCCAGTGCGAACCAGGTCTGCTGGGCTCCAAGCTCAGCATGCAGGTACCACATGGCAGCCCCTCTCCCTTCCTAGAAGTATCCTAAATCCTTGGTACTCAAAGTGTGGTCCACGGACCAGTAGCTTGGCATCCCATGGCTTGTTAGGAATGCAGAATCTCAGGCACCAAACAGACCTACTGAACCAGACTCTGTATTTTAACGAAGTCGCAGGTGATTTGCAGGCAGTTAGGGTTTGAGAAGCTTTTCCCTGGAGCATATGCAGCTTCCTACCCCTGGGGCTTCTGCCCAGCTTTGGCCCACGGATCGCTGGCCCTCTGGATAGTCAGGTCCCAGTGGTCCAGCTGTTTCTTCTCTGACACCACTGCTCAGTGTGTTGAGGCAAGAAAGTAACCCTGGTGCTGTCTTGTGATGCTTCCAGGTTATTTGGTCTTGACATAAAGGGCAGGGACTGCGGTGATGAGGCGGCTCAGTGGTTCACCGACTTCCTGAAATCAGAAGCTTTCAGGGTGGTTCAGTTTGAAAAGGACATGAAGGGAAGACCATCAAGGGAGATTCTGCCGCCCTTCGTGCAGAATTACCAGGTGAGTTACAGAGGTGCCCTTCACTTCCACCTGTCACCTTCTCATCTGGCCCCCTCTGGCCCACAGGGGGCCTCTCTCAGAGCCCTTGTAGCAAAGTGCAGTAATACCCCAGGTGAGTGGTCCTGGGCAGGGATTGGGGATGAGAGGGAAGTGGACAGAGAGCCTGGGATCGGTTATAGGAGATGCTGTGAAGGGAGAATCAGGGAGACTCCCAGGGAGGTGGGGATTCAAGAGAAAACAAGCTGGGGAGGTGAAAAGTGAGAGGTGTGGCTGGGGCTTAACTCAGGTTTCCTCAAATTATGGAAACAGATCTTCTCCATGGGCTCCCTTCCAGTCCGCGTGTTTGGGCTATTTCAGGTGTGGGAAGGCACCTCCTCCCTTCGTGCCAACCATGGCCCAAAGACCAAAGCCTTTGCCCTGCAGTAAGACGGGGGTTAGAACGCATGCACCCCAGGGAGCCTCTGCCCATGTCTGAACTACAGGCTCCTTGAACTCGGGCCTTACCTGCTGTGATGGCAGCTGTTTCCCCACCCAGAACGTGCCTGGTGCAGAGTGGGGACTTAATACATGCATGCTGAGTGCTGCAGAGTGGCTGACAGACATGATGGCTAGAGTAGCTGGTTGCCAGCAGCCGCCTCCCCAGTTTGACGGGATGATGTGGGAAGGCGGTGCCTGCTGGCCGCTGGTCTGGGGGAACAGGAAAGCTGAGGCCAGGGAGGTCACGCTGGCTCTGAGCCCTGGCTGCAGCCTTCAGCATGTGGATGGAGCTCCACCTGAGGCCCAGCAGGCAGGACCCATGCTTCAGAGCTGATGTGAACCTTCCCAAGCCCATGGTGTCATCTCTCCATCCTGAACCTGACCACCGCTGCCCCTTCTGCACTTGGGTAGTTTGCTTTGGGATTTTGCTTAGCTTTGCAGTTTGTCTAAGAGTTTCACAGGGCAGCGAGGCCTGACCGTGCTGTGTTCGGCACAGGTGGCCTACCCGGATTGCAGCCCGGTCATGGTGCTCTCAGAAGCCTCCCTGGCAGATCTGAATACCAGGCTGGAGAAGAAAGTGAAGATGGACCATTTCAGGCCAAATATTGTGGTGACCGGCTGCAAGGCTTTTGAGGAGGTAAGTGGCTCGCTGCTTTGTGCATGGTGTTCAGGTGTGCAGCTCCGGGCACTAACTGAACTGCCGTCTCCTTAGCCAGTGCCAGCTCCCTCCGTCCAGAGTTGGCAGCAGGGACGACTGTCTTTCACTGAAAGTTGCTTTAACCTGTGGAGTTGGTCACTTATTGCTGCTCCTGTCAACTTGCTGGCTTCAGGGGGCCACTGCCAACCCTTCAATGCTCAGGGCCCCAAAGCAGGCAGTCAAACTGCAGCAAGTGTGGGAGTAAGCTAGAATGTATCATCATCACTCAGAGATACCTAAAGGGAAATGAGAAGAAGAGACCAGCCATCTCTCCCTTTCCTGCACCACCCAGGAGTGCTCAGAGGTCTGAGACTCCTAAGAGCCCCAGACCCCAAGGCGGAGGCCAAGAGGAGGCAGGAGACCTGCCTGTGACTAGGGCCCTGGAGACACTCCACGGCAAGGCCTGAGTTCTCCCAGAGGACTCATGTGCTCTCTCCTGTGGCTGACCCCAGAAATTTCCACTCTCCAGAAACCCTTGCAGCCCTACAGGGGCAACTATATCAGAACGCAGTTGTAACCTGCGATCTGTACATGAAATACAGACAGCTGGGGGTTGCTTTGTAATAAGAAACATCAGCAATGATATTAAACATTGGGGGTGGGCTAAGCTTGATGAGCCCTGGAAGTAACTACCCCATTTATTGGGCTTTTCCTGTGCCAGGTACTGAACCAATGAACCAATGAACCCCAATGAACAAATTACTTTATTTGATCCTCATGACCACCCTGTGATGACTGTATAATTGTCGCCTTTTAGTAACAGAACTGAAGCTTGGAGGTGTTACGCCACTTGTTAGGTGAGTGAGTGGTGTCTGGTATGACCACTCAATACCTGCGTGCCCAGCTTCTGGGCTGTTAAGGTCATGGGCCAATTTAGAGATCCCAGGTAGATGATTCTGAGGGCTGAGGAAGCTCCTGAGCACCTCCCCAGTTCTTCCCTCCCTTGGGTGACCGCATTTCCTTGTGTGAGGGAAATGTGTGTCCCTGTATGCTGTAAGCATTGTACTTTGGGCCAAACCTTAGACTAGAGCCCTGTATACATCCTTGTGTATGTGGGCACTTCATATTATTTGATAATCAATAAAATAGCAATATATTCAGAAGTCCACTTGATGTTATCCTGTCATTTATTACCTATTTTCTTAAATTCCTCTTTACATTTGTTCAGAATGTTTTTTTAATCGATTGTCTCTGATGGGCCAGGCACTGTATCGAGGAGGATACAGAGATGAAAAGATACAGAGCCTGCCCATCCGCTGGAGTCACACGGCTGCTATATTTAAGAAAGATGGTGTTTGTTCATAGTCTTACTGAGGATTGTGACCCACAGCAGCCCATTGGGATGCTCTGATAAACTGCTGTAAAGCCCCTTGGGTTGGAGACATCCTAAATACTTCCTACAGCAGGGGATATCTGCAGAAAAGAGGTTACATTTATCAATGCATCAAGCAGTGTGGCCTGGATGCATCTAGCTAGTGGCCTAAAGGATCATGCTATACACATTCCGATGCAATCAGTGTGTGAGGAGGCAAGGACAGGGTCTCCTTAAGTGGGTGACCTTGTCTTTCTTTGGGCATGGAGAGGGCCTATGTGACATTATCTTATCCATGCTGAGCAGAAAATTCCTGACTGACTGCATTTCTGGGAGAGGTTGGAACTCCAGTTAGGTTAGGTATGAACCCCGGTTTGGTGACTTGGCCTAGCAGAGATGGCCCCCATGCTGAGCCTCTGCCTTTCTTTCTAACAAGCGATTCAAATTTCCTGAGATGAGGGGAACGGCTGGGAGTCCATGGCAGCCTCGCATGAAAGGTGCTTTAACGCACGTACTTAGCTGGTGCCCAGGGTGCTTAGGAGTAGAAATGCCTAAATCTTCTTGGGCCTCCAGATTTGGTAGGATCTGAAGAGAGGGGTCAGCAGCCATGTGTGTAGCTGTGTGTGTCGTGTGCGACAGCAGTGGTGAGCGAGGGTCAATGTGAGCAGCAGAGGCAGCTGGCTGGAAGGCCTAGACACGTGAGCCTTGACATTAAGGTCTGCCTGGGAGCATTTCAGAATTACGGGTGTCCTAGGGGTAAAGGGGAAGGGGCAGGAGGAGGCTGGACTTGGAACTGGCTGGAGGCCACCGTGCCAAGGAGTTTCGATTTTATATCGTGAATATTGAGGAGCTGGTAATGCCTTTGAACAAGAAAGTATGATGATTTGCATTCATCCAGCAGATAATACTGATGCCCACGGTGCTCCAGGCGTAACATTCCCCTGGCAGCTCTCTGGAATGTGCATGAAAAGGTAGGGCATCGAGCAGAAATCCCAGGACCATGCTTAATCACCAGGGGGTCTCTGAAAAACTGCAGATTAGACCTAACCTGAAACCTGTGCCCACTGAAATCAACCCCACTGCTGTGTTTTAAGAAAAGTTTATTCTGCATCTTACGTGACCCGGAAGTCAGCGTATCAGTATGTTAAACTGCTCTAAAGCTCTTTGTTTGGGAACATACTTTTGTACAACAGTGGGTGGTTGGAGGGAAGAGGTTATGTGAATCAATAGATCAGAGTAGTGTCTTAAGGACAGACTGAATATTCTGATGCCGTCTGTGTATAGGAGGAAGTGATGACTAGGATTGCTAATTATTTTACTAGTTACACAAGAGCCAGACCTCTTTATCTTCTGAGCATGCCAGGCTGTTTTTTCCTGTAGGGGTGAGGGGCTGTGAGTCTCAGGACCCAGGCAGGAATGGCTGCAGGTTGTCTGTGACAACGCACAGCAGGGGCCAACCTGGCTGACTTGCAGCCTCTGTATTTGCACAGTTGTTTGCCTGTGGGACCATAGCGGGGATGGTCATTTTATTTTACACTTACACAGGAATCATTTTGCCTGTGACCGTATGTTGGCAGCACTATTACAGAAGGGGCAGGAGAGGAAGTGGCTGACGTTCTCCGACCATCAGCTCCTTAAGGGAAGAGACTCGATTTTTCTCGCTAGGAATAAATCCAGATTTGGTGGGACCTCAAGTTTGTACCGTCTGGGGAGTCTCTTTAAGAAAATAACAAGCAAAATTGGGTGCAGGACCTTAAAAGGGTCCAGGGTTAAGTGAGGGGCCTGAGGCTTATTAGCTTCCCAGCAAACGCACCCACTCCCCTGTTCTACTTTCTGTGGAGCGCATGTACGTGTGGAGTCATTACACTCCTGTTAAACACAGATAGAAATTACTGCTTAGTATTAATAATGCAAGTCACCAAAGATTGGATTAGAAATTGGTCGAAGAAGCAAAAACTCTTTCATGCAAATCCTGTATTTGGCGTGTTACGGGCTGAGTTTGTTCTCTTCCGTTCCTGTCCGCGCCACAACAAAGCACTGAACAGC